AGACGCATAGGCTTTCTATATAGTGAGATTCTTTTGAGGATCATTTGCTGTATGCATTATTCAAATTTGGCCATTCCAGGAAAATTATAACCTCTATCGGAGTTTATGAATACCTAGGTTCCTCGTGGCATCCCTACGTCCGAAGTGCTGAGCATCTTTCTATCCCTCGGTCGCAACCCTTCAAACGAGTTTCTCTGTTTTTGCCGGAGTTCGCCCATATAGTGGAACCCTTAGTATGTCTACTTTCACTTATGTTCTCCCACCACATGTAATGAACTAGTCGGATCGCCCGACTAAAGCCAGGCGCTCCTCCTTCCCGTGTAGGAATGGCCTGTCGCCCTCGTCTCCTCCGAATTTTGAATCCTCTGGTACATAGAACACGAGATAAATTTCTATGCTAAACACGCGCACACACGCCCGACATACTTCGTGTGCGCCTCGCCCATCATAAGTGTTGCCCAACCCATGTACGTTTGATTGAATCGATTCATTCCCCCTTTTCTAACTTGACCGCGCAAATTCGTTGAGATTTTGCTCATGATGCTCTGAATTTGCCCCGCGGGCGGAGCTTTGTTAGGCAACTTACCATAATTATTCCAATTCCATCTCTTGTACTTCTAACAAATTTGAAGGCTCTAGACCAAATGAACATTTTCCCCGCTCCTCGTGGGCGGAGTCTCGTTATACTTCCTACCATAAATGTTCACATCCTGTCTCCTGTACTGAAATGAAATAGGATCGTTCTAGGTCCACGGGACCAAGAGCTATGAATTTTTGCTCAGACATTCCTTTTGCGCGATCCTTGTCCCTCTGGGCGTAGTCCAGTCTTGCCATCCACCGTAAGTGATCCCATCTTACCTCTTACGCTCCTACCAAGTTTGAATGCTCTAGATCCATTCGGACGAGATTTACGAATTTCCGGTCGGACAAACCCATGCTCCCACAAGCACTCCAACAGGCACCCTTAGCGGATTATATTATAAACAGAATAACTCGAACGCGGCCCTTCCATGAAGACGTTCAGTTCGCCCGGAACTCACTGGCACGTAGGGGCCCCATAGGGGTCCGGTATTTTCCCCTCGAAAACGGCGTCGCGCATGCCGTACTCGCCACGAATCGCAGGATTGCGATGGAAGATTGAAGCGCGCAATTTGTGAGGTAGGGATTCCTTTAATTATTTGGATTGGTTGGCTGCTCCCTTTAATTCCAATGCGGTCTTGATCGTCGCTAATATATTAAGAGTCATTCTAATTAATCAAGTCTAATAAAGATAAAAACAAAAAAGAATCAGAAAAACAGTCAAAACTGATAACAAAGAAATAATCAACGAAGAATTTTGGTAATCAACGAATCAAGACGAACGTAGGAAATCGGGGAGAAGTCCCGTCACCCGGCCCTACAACGTGTTAAAGCACAGTACTTGATAATTTCCAGGTTCCTTTCTTAAGTTGAAAAGAAGAGTGTTGATGGAGAATAGTGCAGCGGTGCCGATTTTGCGATAAATGAGGCCACTCACAAGTAGTGAGAGTGGAGTACGATAGGGGTACACAATTTAAACTACGGAAATGTGAGGAGGTGGTATTTGGACGAGATATCCATTGTTTCAGTTGCGTTAGGAGCCAAATACATAAGGACAAGATTGTCCAAAACTCCTTAAACTGTCGCCATGGGTCACCAGTAGGTGTTTGAAGTTCCAAGATGAGTGGCCCTTGGGTGTAGCCCATAGAACTCCGGTAGAACAAGTCCGCTATATGTAGTAGTCACCCATAGTGAAAAATTTCATCGTAAATTGTGCCCTTACTCTCTCTATCCTACGTTCGGAAATAAAGTACAAAAATCGTCCATCATTACATATAAGATGTTTTCCTTATCTAATAACCAGTCGGTCTGCGCACTCTAACGCGTGCATTACATGTCGACGACCGCTTATCTACGATGGAGTCATTCAGCGCAATGTTGGATTATAAGAATAAGATAGAATTATTAGTGGTTGTTTATAGCTCCGTCCACCTCATTGCATACCCTTACCACTGTAAAAACTTAACGACCCTTATTTTAAGCGCTCCTTACCATTTTCTCCGAATTCTAGATAGTTTTTGAAGAGATGCATTTCGGTCCCAGCTCCGCTTCCCTGTGCCAGCTCTGCCCACTTCGAAGACCTAACCACGTCTGTTCCAATACTTCTAACCACTTTTTTCTCGTGCCTAGAACGTTTCCGAGCAGAGTTATAGACTTCTTATAAAAGCCCCCACTTCGAGGATTTGACCACATTTGTTCCATTACCCCTGACTACTTTTTCCCGCTTTCTGGAACGTTTCCGAACGAATTTACACTCATTTTTGAAAAGTAGCTTTCACTTCAACGCACGCCCTTCCCATCGTGGCTTCGCTAAGCTTACGCATGCCTAGCACTCATGAGACCTTGCTCACTCTTTTTCATTTTTTCCTGGTCTCGACGCCTTCGTTGCATCGAGTTGTGAGTCTCTTTGGAAAGTACGGTCCACTACGAGAACGCTCCGCCCACCGCCGGTGATTTTCCCTTACTCTGATCGTTGACCAATCCCTCGCCTTTGCACATTTTTTCCCGGCGTCCGTAATGTTATGAAACCAAATCGGAAGAATTCGCCCATGACCCTGAACGCATCCGGTGCAACAGAGCACATGTGTGCCCCGTCCCTTGGGGGCTTTTATCAGAAGTCTATAACTCTGCTCAGAAACGTTCTAGGCACGAGAAAAAAGTGGTTAGAAGTATTGGAACAGATGTGGTCAGGTCTTCTAAGTGGGCGGGGCTAACATGTGCTCTGTTGCACTTATCCTATGCTCAACCCATTCCAAACTTGACCCGATTTCCTCAGGAGTTTCTTCAGGCTATATCGAATTTCCCTACAAACAAACAAAAACAGAGAGACAGACAGAGCGCTTTAAATATGTATAGTAAGGATTTTTTGGTCAGTCCATGGTTACTTTGATTTTCACACATTCCAGCGTTGTATTATGTCCATGCAAGGTTTCCTCTTTTCTTTTTGTTTTTTTCCGATATTTCAAAATGTAACGGGAGCTCCAATTGATTAAGATAGAATATATGGTTAGTTCAGATAATCCTGCCAGAGAGGTCAGCAATCATCAAGGAGAAACTGAAGAGTGAAGCGATTTAATTCAGAACCAGAGTTGCATAGCCTCAATTGTAAAGCGCGGGGGAAAACCTCTTATCCTCTCACCGCGAGAAATGAACTGATAGCGTTGATAGATAACATTTACGAAAGTAAGATTACAGTGATAGCGTCTTCAACGGTTGTTTTGTTTACCGACAAACGAGGAGTCCATTGTTTTTTGGCCGCGATAATGGTTGTCGTCGCTGTTAACTCGAATATGCTCACCTTTTCGTTATTCTAGACTTAATGGTCATGGTTGCAACTAAAGCTTGCTCACGTAGAACACATATTTGCGTTTTACAGATGCTTCTTGGCAAGCTTATCTGAGAAACGAGCAGCCTTTAGCCTGTTCCAACACTTCAATGTCGTGTCCACGCAGTCAACTGCGAAACCGGGCTGCGTTTTGAAAGTTGGGGAAATTTCTGGGGCCTTTCAGGTGAGTTCCAGATGCTGCGCGATGTTAATTTTTATTTTGATACATCTTGTCAAGGCAAGCTCCCGTCTTCTGATGTTGCACGTTCTCCCTAAACGATTCCTAAACAGTGGTTCCAATCCTATGCGTATCGAGTCTCCCACCCATGTTGTAAGCTCATTGAATCGAGAAGGCAGCTGTGCCTTCATTGACCGCCACTTTGTCGTCATCGTGGAATGTGAAGACGACTGTGAATAGTAAGCCTATATTAGTTGCAGGGAAAAGGCACCTTATGGCAATCAAGGTGACCTTTGGTCACTTTTTGAGTGTTACTGAATGAAGCTATTTCAGCTTCGTATTGTTTCTGCTGCTCATCTATTCGCAGACACCACAACTTGTTGAGCTTACAGGTCAGTTTCGGATGTCAGCATTCACAGCTCTCAGGAGACAGCATCTTTTCGACTATTTGGCATCCTTCCATGATGTCGATCTTCATTGCAATATTCCGGGATTCTCTCACCCTTCTTTTTTCTCTTCTACGTTCCGCGAAGGTCCCCGGAAATTGCCTTTCTCTCGAAAGTCAGCCTATATCAATAATCGTCCAGTTCACATAGACATACTCCTTATTGCCATCCATTCGTGTTTCTTTTTGGTTAGACCCGGATCTCTGTACAACAAAGTTTGCGTAAGGAAGACGACTATGAAGTCAATGCTGCCAGTATCTCAAACGTTTTGTCAAAGTAAAGGTGTGGTCCGCGTCCTGATTCTAATACATCTAATCAAGGCCAGCTCTTTCTCCCTACGTTGCACTTTTCCCCTGAACAAATCTGAAACTATTGTTCCAATTCTATGCAGTTCAAGTCTTCTTCCTCCAAATAAAATAAAAAATAAAATCAGTTGGGTCAATGAATTAGCTATTCTTTCATAGACCGATCGACCATCGACTCATCGTTTTAGAATTCGAGGGCATCTGAAAAAGTGCAATGTAGAGCTACTTCATTGACTATTCCCGGTAGAGTAGAGACGTCGCAATCTTTCTACATTGAAGCGCTAACTTCGTGTGTCAGTTTATATGTCGATTTATGCGTCTGTCCGCAAAAAGTTACGTTGGCATGATGAGGATTGTGAAATGTCACATGGGCCCATGATAACAAAGGTGAGGAACATGTTATGAAATAGGAAATACTGTTTCTATTAATCAGTGAGATAAAGTCCAACTGGTGAATGAACAAGTGAATGAATACATATATGATGCGATGAATCTATAAATACATCTTTTTATGATGTAACAATTCGGCTATTCAGTAAGATACGGATATGATACTGACCAGAGAAATATCCCAAGTCGAAATGGCTATTTGAAATGAGATTCATCCTGCTAGACGTATTTTCGTTCACGCCTATCTCATATCTACTTTCCAAACTTGCCGAGTGGTTCTCTCAATGGAGTAACGAGGGTGACTTCAGGTGAGACATAAGCGAATACAAATTACGTAAATATGCTGGGTTTCCCAGCAGTGACTGGTAGCAGTAACAAGCGTAAAGTCATGTGCAGGATCCCATGGTTGGATATTGTGAGAGCGGAATTCCCGCACTTTACACGATTTTCCCCTTGAGATATGAAGCTTTTCTACGTTTAAACGTTGATTTTACCTTCGGACGCTCGGAGTTCTCCCTTGAGGCCTGGATATACTTTCTACTTTAATTCTACGACCTTTGACCTCCTTAACTTATGAACATGAGAGATGAACGAAATTTTTTACCAAAAAAGCGTTGGAACAGAAATGGAAGAGAATTTGCCACATTGCGTCACATTGCAACAAGAGACTGAGTCAGATGGAAAAAGGAAGAAAAAGAAAACGAAGGACGGTACAGAACTGAAAGTAGGCTAGTGAGAGTAGGCAAAGTTTTTGCGCAAAAGTTGCTGTCATTAGCCATTACATGTGGGGTGATGCGTTCGATCATTTTTTTGAACGGCGAGTAGAAGTGAGCATTTAGCGGCCGTATCAGCCTTGCAGTGTGAGCAGAAATATTCATTATCTTCACCAGCTGTTGTGGAGCTGGAGCGGTCTGAGCAGCTTCGTGATCTTTGAATGGTGTCCATTTCTACTTCTCTCGCGTCATCTGCCTGCTGATCATATGGTTTTACTCACTCGGACCGCAAAATTTTGCGCACGAAAAATCCCTTGTTTGGGAACTCGCATGTAGCTCTCTGTCCGTGCTAGGTTGCAGAATATAGTGTAATGCAGAATGTTCTCATATAGACCTGGATCACTAATAAAGAGTTTCTGACCAAGGTGACCATCAGTGAAAATGCAGGGCATAGCAATGAACAAGTGAGTGGTGAAAGAAACTGACGGCTCTTCCTTCTCTCTTCGAGCCTTTTGAAGTAATCGATGCATATCCGTCACTTCTTTGTTCTTTCGTTCCGTCAAAGGTTTCAAAATATTTTCTGACATTCGTTCGAGCGATCCCTTATTTCTGCTTTTGCTTGCGCTTGTCGCAATTACGCTGGACAGCATGGTTCTGCATGTGCATTGTATGACTATTTTACTCCAAACTTCAAGCAACATTCAACTAAAAGATGACGGTGACGAATAAGATGCCTATGTGGATTTCAACATCAATGAAAATGCCTGAAGAATGTGTGAAACACACTTGCCCACGCTAAGGTCAATTCAGAGCTCCTACTTTAGTAGAGCGGGCACAACACTCAAAATGATCAAGGTGCTTATGGTCGCCTGGGTTAAGACTTGCCTCTTCGAGAGCAGGGCTGCTCACTAGGTGAAGCTATTCCCGTGAACCGACAGCATAATAAAACTGTGCTCGAAAGTGGTAAAGCGATTCGTCATTGCAAGTACGGTAACCTTCAGTTCTTGACGAGCACTTTATAACAGGATGCAAATTTGAAGTCCACGGTATCTCTGCCGGCGCTACGTCATCGGTTCAATCATTGGCCATCTCCTTTGGTTCTGTGGAGTACGTTGTGAGGAGATCAGAACCAGAATTGTGATGAACAACGTGAAATTCAAGACGACCCAAAAAGACAACATGATTAAAGTTTTATCACACGTGTATCTACTGTTTGGTGCACCTCTGAGTGTAATCTTTGAAAAAAGGAATTCGATAGTCACTGACTGTTGATTGAATCTGTCCACGTCCTAGGAGACGGACGCTTTCCGGGCCCTGTAGTGATTTTGCTTCGCGTAATATTTTGAAAATTTCCATCCGTCAGATTCCAAGGGATGCGCGGTGCACTGATACAGGAATCAATCATGGGCCATAACTACCGTTATTTACCTAGAAACGCAGGCAGGCTCAGAGATTTCAGAGATTAATACCTTTGGTCTCTTCGCACCTTAGCCACACATGCGTGTGTGAAGAGGAACGGCTGGTATCCTGCGCATCGGCTCAACCTGAAGAACAAGCTGCTCGTATGTAGCGGGGAACGTGTGATTCACGCGTGACCCCATCAGAGCTCGCACGCACCTAGCATGCGACACTTCGTGCGGCAGATTTCGTACGGATTTCGGTGCAGTCGCTACCCTGAACTTCAGTTGAGATGGACTGAACGGGATTCACCTCAGTCCATGGCTCTACCATGATTAGTGCAAATCTCTTCACCATGACAATGAAGTCCCTTCGAGTTCAAGAATTCACTTCATAGGTCAACAATCTTCAAGGCTTCATAATGTTCCGATCCTAATAAACGCTGTCTTCCTGTAAACATGCATAGTTGGTCATTTTTTAAATTGCCTTAGGTTTCCATTTCTCCAATGATGGTAGACACGATGTTCTAACGCGTATCGCCCACAGCACCGCGCCACCGCAGGCCCCGTCTTTCACGAAAGAAGACCTCATTATCTTCACGCGTGAATCGCACCACTTACGTATGCTGGTGGTATGCCAAAAACAGTAACATTGGTGGACTGAGTGGTCTTCCGAGAAAGCTGAACCCCAGCTCGAACGATCTTCTCCGTCTAGGCACCGACGTCAATCTGTGGAGGAGAGGAGCTGGAAACGTTTCTATAATATAAATCTGGGAAAGTTCCTTAAACAACCACACTCTGAACGTTAACTCAACGACGTCATCGTCTGTGATTTCAACGCTAGGAGTAATCCTCTAGATGGAATACAGAATAACTGCATATCGGGACTCACTGAACGAAAAAATGAGCAGTGAGGAACCTCGTACATTCGTGGGGATATAGAGGTTTCAAATTGAAGGTAGCCTCCAACTTCGTGCTTTGGCCCATGAGCTTCAATCTTGTGGCGCTGGCAAGAGAGCCCATAGCCTCCTATAATTTGAGTGTCAACAGGAGCCGCACTTCCCCATGCATGGAAAACAAATTTTGTTCCATTACGATCGGGTGCCATCTATGGAAATTAAGGGGAAGTGAAAGACCACGAGTTTTCGAATTAGTCTATTTTGTCAAATTTCGTTGTTTTATGTTGTTGTAAGGATGTAGGAATTTCGTTGCACGGCAGTCATTTTCGATGGATAACGCAAATAACAACAATGAAGGCCTCAATTTCAGAACAAGTCGTAACGAACTCAGGGGTTTGAGCCTAGCCGTGGTATCGTGTACTACCGCATCATCACATTTACCTCAAAGAAGGGTGTCTTGACAACTAGTGGATTATCATTCCTACAAATGAATCATCAACTACTGTTCCGCAGTTCTTTTTCAAAAATGTTAGTTAACTTGTACCAGTGCTTCGAATGCGCGGACAGTATTCCTCGAATGCGAGGCAAGTATTCCTCCTAAAAAGGGGTCTGGTTAGATGATTCATTTGACTGGACTCTACCGTTAGTGGAGGGAGCTGCCGAAAAATTCGCAACGCTGTTGTTGTTCTGGGTAAAAAGGCATATCTTGTTGATCAGCGATCATAAGAATTCTTTAATGGATTACTATTCTCCGGAATTCTAGAATGTGAGCGAGCTCCGTAAATAATCAATATTCAAAAAAAAACTTCGCAAGCGATCAGGAACCTTTTCATGGAAAAGCAAAGCGAGCACATGCAGAAGGGATTCGAACTTTGATGTCATGCCTACCGATCCACCACCCTATCGGCTGCGACACCGTTGCACAACGACAGCTTCGCTCGGTTCGATTATCTTTCCGATAAAGTGGAATGACACGGGTGAGGCTCTTTCCCGTAACTTTGTTCCCGGATTCGTTAAGCAGACTTAGAATATGCACGCGATTGAAATCAGCATTCGAAATTATCTGTGATGGTATACAGGGGTGCCCAAAAAAAGAGACCATTCACTGCTCGGTTTGCACCACCAATGTAATCAAACATTATTAAATTCTGACTGAATATTACCACCCGCAAAATCAAAAACACGTTGTGCTCGATCACGGAATTCTTCAATGGCCTTCCGCACGAACGAAAACGAAAGTTCTTGCCAAGCAAATTTGATGCGTCGTCTGAGGTCGGCGAGATCGGCAACTTCTTGACCATCGCAGACAATCCTGTTGAGTTCAGCGCACACCCTGTAATCAAGCGGGTTGAGATCAGGAAATGCACTCGGATATACTGTCTTCCTAAGATATCCGACGCCCACTGAATCCAAAAAGGCGAGAGTTTTCCTAGATGCATGGGCCGGCGCCTAGTCCTGTTGTAGCACAAAACTTCCGTCACGATAAAGGCGGCTTGATGACGGCAGAATGTCTTCTCTGAGGACGTAGTACTCGGCATTAATCTTCAATCCAGGCTCCACGAACAGCAGCTCCGTCTTACCGTTCCACGAGACTCCGGCCCACACCATCAGGCCACGCTGGCTGGTGGAGCGTGGTGACTGCAGCACGCTCGGGCTGAGCTCTTTTTTCTTCAGGGTGGTCCATATGCGTCCCTTATTACTGCCCCTTGACGGAGAGATCAAGAAGAACTTCTCATCGTTAAAAACGATCCGCTTCACAAATTCGTCGTTGAGTTTTGGCAGCAGACGCTGGCAACATTCCGCGCGATTCTTCTGCTGCTTCTCGTTAATGCAGTGGATCCTTACCTCAAGAGTGATCATCAAACAAGCCACAGACACCGAGGAGCCAGCCTTGGGCACCGGTTTCAATCCTCGTTTCTTCAGGATACGCTGAACCGACGTCCGCGGAATCCCAGTGCGCTTGGCGATCACGGTTGCTGGAACGGTCGGCCCGTTTCCCACGACATCGCAGACCATTGCGGAGCTGTCGGGGCTACAGGAAGTCAGCCGTCTTCCAGATCCTAAGCGACGATGCCCAGGAATCTGTCCGTGAGCGACTCGATTGAGAAAGTTGCATATCTGTTTGTTGCCGACCGATAACCCATGAGTCGTCTTGAGCGCGGAATGGCAGACGGCTTCATATTTTGATGTCGATATAGGATTCACACGAGTTCCTGCTTCCTTTCATCAAGCAACATTCTTAGTACAATTTACCAAAACACAATCTTCTGCTGCTTCAATCGGTGCGACGTATTCCGCCCTGGATTAGGCCCCATGCATAGCGTATCTTTTTTTTTGGCACCCCTGTACATCTCATCTTGAATGGCCACTGCGTCCAAGTATCCTTCCCAGCATGAGGCAGCGAAATTGAAGACGATTGGCTCGGTGATGCAGGACGACCCATGACGACTTACTGTTCTCAACGAGTTGTTCCACATGATTGTTCACTCGGTTGCTATGAACCATTGGAATTATACGGACTGCACTTCCTTTTATAGTCCCTAGCATTTTTCCACATTCTAGAACGTTATTCGTATGAGTTATGTGTTTTTGTAGATTCAGTTAAATAAATCCCGCTCGTCACAGACAGAGCTTTGCTCCGCAGAGAACGATCCCAAACGTAGCGGTCATTTGTAATGAGCCTTATCTGTTAGACGTATTTTCATATGCTAATCTCGAATCCAAGTGTGCTCTCAGCAGTGGAGCAGTGGTATGTCGCCCTATGTGCGTGAGACAAGCGAATTTTTTATGACGGCAAGGTTTTTACATTGTGCAGGACCGTATCCTCAAAACCTAAAAATTACTTCCATGTTGATTTTATCGCATTCTATGACGTTTTCGATATGTGAGATGATACCTTCACCTAATCAACAAATCGCCACACCACTTTGCTTGTTTACACACTTTTACGAGGGAGTTTCTGACGGAAATGCACATTCTACGATCTTCAGCCTTCGAAGGTTCGAAGAGAGTGTGGAAGGTTGTGCACTAGGTTTCTTTAACCGCTTACTCCACCGTAGTACCTTGACATTTCGCTGGTACTTCGCACATTATTCAAAAGCTCTTGGTGGTGACCAAGTTCTGTTGTGCAAATGTTCTGCACCATACTGCATTCTCCGAAGTGACTATGATAGAAATATCCATACGCTACTCGGAAATGCGATCATGAAAAACGCACACGTTGAGCAAGCAGCTGAAGCTAGGGCGGGTGCGATCTTGTGTTACGGCCACGGTATCTCTACACAAATGTTGCTTCCGGTGAACTGTAGACACCTTCAAAGCTGTTAGGCCCGTTTTACCTTCACAAGAGCAGTTGAAGATGGTGAACGTTTTCGCTTGTTCCAAGCTCATTTCTTGCCATTCAAAAACATGTTTAAACGTCATCCCCTAGATGTTAGCTGACGGCCTCACCTGTCGCGTATACAGTTGTGACTCAATTCTTCTTCAACTATCATTTGCCTCGAGTCCTGGGCTTCCTAGGTCATCTTCTCTCTTATTTATGGCATGCCGCGGGTTGCTTAAGCTCTCGTCAGGGTGATTTACAATCGCTTCTACAAATCTTTAAATGTGAAGCAACTGGATGTGTCATTTTCCTCAATGTACTCAGTGTGAAAAACTCTGATTCAAGCATTCTGTGCCAAAATATCCATACGTATTGTACACAAGGTGATAAAGCTTATACTACTGTAAATATATTAGGTTGAGTCATATTAGGTTAAGTCCTCGGACAAATTGACAATGATTATATTTATCTTACATTTTTCAAACGACGATTGCGAATCATTTGAAATATGCCCATTGGCATCGATGGTCTTCTGCCAATGCTTGGTAGATCGTAGATGCCCTTGCTCCAGAACTGGGGCCTGCTGGGGGCTGGCCCTTGAAGAACTGCTCGAGTGCCATTTTGGTGTCGTCGCGGATTTGAGAGTCTTGACCATCTAGATACGTTATAGATGGGAAAAAGGTGGTAATGCGAGGGATCCAAGTCTGAGGAATATGGTGGTTGTGAAATTCATCGGTTCAGTTTTAGACGTTCTTGCAATGTGCGGCCGAGCGTTGTCGTGTTGGAAGTAAACCTTTTGCTGCTGTGGACGTGTGGCTTCGAAGTTCGCCTCAAATTATCAATTGTTTAATGTAGACGTCTGCGTCACTGTTCATCCTTCGTTCAACAGCTCCCAGTGTTCGCCACCGTGAACGCTCCGTCGGATGCAGATCATAACCTTCCTGGCGTGTGCGTAGGGTTTAGGGAAGTCTTCTGCCTCATTGAGCACGCCGGTGAACGTTAGAGTAGAGAATTCACTTCTCGTTCCCGGTGACTGGGTGCTCGAGCCACGTGTGGGTGTTTTTATGCATGAGGATAGGAAGTCTCATGTTGGCGCGGCGGTCCATGTCATACTGCTTCAAAGCATGAGGCACCCGTCGACCAAGCTTTCGCACCTTGTCGATTGACTTCAATCCACGAACAAATGTAGACTGACTCACTTCAAGAGTGACCGCCAGTTCACTAGTAGTTTCATACGGATCAGCTTCCGGCTCCGCAGCACGTTCAAACCCACCTCCATTGGGCGTCCAGGACGATGGAATAGTCGCCCTTCGACTTTGAGTGCCACTTGTAAATTGTGCTTCTAACAGGGGCGTCCTTGTAAACTCCTTCATAGGTCTATCGTTTGTCGCTGGTCCTTAACCAGCTAAAAAAAAGAAATAGGATGGTGTCGCAAAGGTGTATTCGCGACGGCTTTAAATCATGGGGCATGGTTGCAGAAAAGGAAACAGGTGGGTTCGTTAATATTGTGTTTGGAAGAGCTTTCTATACTCTATCTAGAGATGCGCGTCCATTTTCGTCACCTCTTTACCGAGTTCTGTTCTCAAGAAGTCACCACTAGTCACATTGTTCGAGGGCTTATGACTCAACCTAATAGAATGTTGAGGGCAAAATGATTGGAACGTTATTCTCAGTTCAGGTACGAAAGGAATCACCTCAAACATCAAAGAGTTCGCAGAATTCGACGAAATCAACAAGGAATGATGTGATCTCCATGTTCGCTTTTCTTGAAACCTGGACATTTGTTCTATGATCAAACAGTGCTTCTGTGCCAAACAGGTTTTTTGGTGGTGAAACATTTATTACGCCTCACGTTTCGACTAATTCATCATTGTCGAAGGCGTGAAAACGTTTCGGATTTTCAGAGTAATGTCTATCATGCTTGACAGAGACCAATTCTTAACTAGTTCCAACTCAAAACAAGAATTTCCAACTGTACAGAAATTCCAACGAGTTACGTCAGCTTCACCAACACCAGACAATTGGTCGGCTTTAGAGAGGATAGAGCAGAAGAGACCGCCCGGTCAACCACGATCCATTAACAGTATCGTGAAGTGACACGTATCAGACCCCATTACCAAAGCTTACCCAGAGGAATGTATGGCAAGAAGTCGCTAGTTATTTTGTCGCGCTCACTCTTGTTATTCATGCTTGGATTTCGGTCCCTTTTTTAGAAAGCCTCTAAAGTTTTTCTGGCACCAAGCAATCGAGCAATTTCTTCGTTTGCTAGCTAGCTAGCTTTAGCGTCAGCTCTTACACAAACGCATAATCGTCTCCCGATTTCTCGAATATAGCAAGCATTACATGTCAAACACTGAGTTGGTCAACCACAACCCTTCGCGCAGTCTCCTAATTTTCCATACGAATAGATCGCGCAGCTATCCATGATGCATATTCGGTCATAGAGGCGACTTTTAACCAACTGACGTTCTATGTTGTCTCTCGATGTGTTAACCTAAAGACCGTCATTGGCTGGATCCGCTATTTTCAGGCACTGCTGTATAACTGCGCTGAATTCATCTGAAAAATGGTAAGTGAAAATAAATTGAATAGTGATAATCATAATGATAATAATATTTATCATTATGATTATTATCATTATCACTGATTAATAATGAATATTATTATTGATTAATCGTCGATAACAACCATTATTAATCCTTAATAATCTATCGTCGATAATAACCATTATTAATCCTTAATAATTTAATGATGGATAAATAATCCATCATTGAAAAACCTGTTTGGCACAGAAGCAATGTTCAATCAAGGAAAGATGTCTTAGGTGTTCTTCTCTGAAGCCTCGGCCAAGATGTACCAATTTTAATTAGGCTGACGTTCCGGCCATTCGCCTTCGTCAGAATTTGGAAGTCAGAAAAAAACATTGGAGATTCATCCCGACCAAATAACGTTCAGACCTCAGCTTTGTTCAAGTGTGGTCTATAGATATCTAGAAAGGTCTCGCAAACCACAACAGGCAGCCCACCTTAGATGTTCAGAAGAAGACCGTTGACCCTCATTCTTCAATTGCGTATTTAAACCTTCCACAGCGGGTAGGCTCCGAGTGTCATGACCCGTAGCTTGGCGCCGATGGCAACTGAACACCACACAGGTCGAGAAAAGGAGCAAGCTCGTTAGTGACGGCGAGACATATTTACGATTCATTTTTTGATTTTTACCGCTTATCCAAAGGTTTCGAAAGTTTTTTGCCAGGTCGTGGGCTGCCGTCAAGATCCTGATTCATATCTCAAACTCTACGTCTTCGTGATGGTACTTCCCATGACCTCCCAGGGGCGTTTCAGGCCTTGATCTCTTCAGGCCATACAGATGTTCCTTAACCCTGCATATCAGAGTTTGAATGTGATCAAGTAGATCATATCTGGCGTCTTGTAGTCGTCACCCCCTCCTCCGTTGGGACGGATGACACTATGGAGGGTAATGCAGAAACGATCATAGAGAGGGTTTGAACCACTTTGCCTCGCAAAGCTTTTCTCACGTCTGAACTGACGGAGTCCGACACGAAGGGAAGGCAAAAAGGCACCTCAGAACATTCGGTTGCTAGCTCGTGTTTGCTCCGAAGGGGTGTTCTGACAGAGCACTGGTCCCTCAGTGGCTAGCCATTAGAGCTAACCACTTTTCCAGCCAGCTCCACGGATTCTACTTGTTATTCAACACCCGGTAAAACTGTTTTCGCCGTCCTAACCATATTCGCCATGATGGCCCGCTTAGATCTGGGTAGGTGCGCCGAACTGTTTTTGCTGGTGGGTTTCCTGTACCATTTTCTTTGTCGGAACCCCCGCTCAAGCTGGATCTGCATGTTGACAAACGGCAACCACTTGTCCTTAGGCTATTCTCGTGTAAATCGTATATTGTCAGCTTGGCTGTTCAGCAATTCGAAAAACGTGTCCATTTCCTTCTAGGTTGAGCAGGCGAAGAAGTAGCCGTCTACGTAGCGGCAATAGAGGACGGACCGGCGACCCGAAACGGGCTCTTCAATGTTTGACTTGTAGAACAATGCAAATGTCAAATGTCGTGTGCTACTTGCGCCGGCACGCTCTTCCACACGCTTTTTTCTGACTAAAGGGTGTTCAGTGTGGAAGAAATGAGGTCCCAGAGTATACAAATATTTCACACTACCAGGGTTGAAGCCGCTAAGAAGAGTGAAATTGCCACTTGTAGATATTTTCATTTGTGCTAGAATCTACCATTAGAGCGATATCGCAAAGTTGGTCGAGAAAAGTTTAAAATCGAACCTCTTTAAAGCGGGTTTCACCAAAGGACGCAGCTCCTTCATACATAAGGAACACTGAAAACGCTTATACAAATAAATTTTTTCATTACTTTCACAGACCGAATAGCAGTGCACATAATACTCTACTGCGAGCACTCCTGATGTGGTTACGAAATTCGGCAGCCCCGTGCACTTCCAAAAGAAGGCGGTCAAGTGAATCATACGACCGTAGCGCTTTTTGGGTGAAGTGATGCCCTCTCCATGGGTAGAAGTGAGCTGGTACATATCAGCTCACGTTTGATGAAATGCTGTTAATACAATGAGTGAACATTCATTCAAACATATGCCGATCCAACACAAAGTGTTCGAAACAAAAAAACTTCTCGCAATGACAACAACGTATAAAAAAAATTCACCGCATCCGTCACTTCCACATTTCCCATCTAGATGAGATGGGAAACATCACTCTACAGAAATTTCAAATTCTCGCGGGTCCCTATCCAAGTATTCGGCCACAAGCCATGAACAAGAAAGAAATTTCTCAAGTTGAGTTCGCTAAAACAAAGTATAATGGCTCTCTCCTCGTTTACAGCCCTTCGAGGGGTGACCGACCGTCTGCCGCCCTCCTCTCCCGTAGCACCGCCTCGTGGCACGCCGGCCGGCGGACTATGAAAGCAGCCATAGGGCAAATTCAAAATAGGACAAATTCGTGCTGCTTGTGTCACATGAATTTTTTATTCTTTGCTATTTACTTTTTTGTAGAAAAAGTGCATAACCCGAAATAACTGTTGGAGGTAGGAATTGTTTCTTCGTTATCTACATCAACTACGTCGATTAAAATTCGGTGTTCGATAGTGAATATCTGCGGCGAACATATGGCTCGTTTTTTCCAGTGTATCGACCTGGGGAAAGTTAGAGTTTAGAATGTTGGGACTGAAAGAGAAGCACTTTAGCGGAGCGGGAAGGGTGAGCAGTTGTAGGACTCTCTTTTTTGAAAGTCTAGTGTGAACTTCTCAATTCTGTTTTTGCCTGACCACTGTCGTGGTCAACCACGACTTCTCTATTCCCCCTCTCTTATTGTCCGATTATTGTATCACATCATACCCTCATTCGTTAACATTCCTCTAGTTCTTATCCTGTCACATGTACCGTTCTTAGTTGACCACCTGTGAACACATCTGTAACATCTGTAATGTCTGTCTACGTATATAAGTGCTCGAAAATATTGTAGAATGCTCTTCGCTCAATAAACGGTTGCCACTGAACGATCGACACAATTTTGGTGCATCGGCCAAAACAATGTACGTTTAGAATCAAGAACGGACAAGATCGGATCGACACCCGCAGAGGTGAAGACAAGCAACCCGCAGAGGTTCAGCACCCTCAGAGGTGAACATAACCTACTCGCAGTGGTAGGATACAGCAGAGATTCGGCACTAACAGTGGTGCAAAGTCTACGTCCATAGAAGTACAGGCATAAGGCACTAGTACAATGCAGTCCATCATCTACGGTAAACCGATACTGCACAACGTTCTGACGCTGAAGTCGCTCATTGCGAACATCCAGATATACACAGCCGAGCAGACCTACTCAGCCAACTCGGACGAGATACGGTATGAGGAAACATTGCAAGCAATAGACTTGATAAAAGAGAGTATGTCACAGATTGACGCCGCAAAAACGACCTTGCAAGCGCTAATCGAGCAAATGAAAGAAAGCTACGACAGCACCAAGAGCAAGGAAGACAAAAAGATCCTTTTCAAGACATAGAGAAGATCGAGGAAGAGTCTCACTTCAATGACGTGATTAAAGAGGCCACCGATCTTCACTTCATGTTGGGAACACGCCTAACTGAGGCCATCAGCAACGGAAAAAGGCTGGAGCGTAAACTGGGCATCTACGGCAAAACAGGACCACATACGGCGCGGCCCACGAATGACATCCACGAAGGGCCTCCAGGTTTGGATATCGAAAACGAAGCATCCAGACAGCCTCCTTTCACTGCTCCCTCAATCGCACCACCTAGAGTAAGTGTGCCAGTCTTTACTGGGAGGGAAGAAGAGTTCCCAGAGTCCTGGGCTGTCTATGAACAACTCGTACACAACAACCCGACACTCAGCGCAACCGAAAAAATGCTATTGCTAAAAGAAAGCCTTCAAGGCAAATCGGACAAGTCAATTCGAGGTATACAGTTGATCCCTCAGAACCACGAAAGGATGATCAAAACGCTACACAAGAAATATGGCAAAAAGCCCGCCAACAGGACCCGTATAGTACAACAACTGAATGAGCTACCACGAGCCTCCAGAACAGCGGAAAGCTGTGAGAAGGTGTTTGACGACATATGCATGCTTTTAAATCAGATGTTCTCTACAGGACAGAATATACGAGTTTGCAAAGACGCCTTATGGACAGAGGCGATACTAAGCAAATTCCCTAAAGATATTGTAGAGCCGGTACTACTTAAAATGCGAGAACACGATGATCTCACAGTGGATTCCATTTTGGACTTCATCAGTGGCGAGATATCCGCCAAGGCGTACATGCAGTCAAGACTCCGACCCTATGATCCAGCAAACCGAGAGAGTGCGAATCGCACAACACAACTCTGCGTAATTTGCGAAACTAGTAGCCATTTCACGTGGCAATGCCAATCTAAGCTGCCCGTAAGCAAGAAACGAGACATCGTGGCTAGAAAGCGCCTCTGCTGGAAATGCTACTCGCCAAAACACACAAGTTCCCAGTGCTCAAGAAATAATTGCCGTTTGTGTGGAAGGATGCAACATATCAAGCTGTGTTTCTCGACCGAAAACGCAGCCGAGCATGGTACCTCAGAGCACAACACACCTTCGGCCAGCGAAGCAGAACAGCGTGGCTAAAGAGTTTTCGCCAAACGGGTGAGCACTACCCCGGGTAAGCTGTATTCCAACACGGATCCACAACCACGCCAAAAGCACACTGCCAACATGCACATTGAGTGTGGCGAGAAGACATATCCAGATGACGTTGCTGAAGGTGACCAACCCCGCGATGACGAAGAAACAACAGAACATCCCACTTACATAAAATGCAGCGCCTTGTCGCCCAAAAATGAGCAAATAGCTCTAATGACAGCCGAGGGATCCATCTGGAACCACGGCACGCAGAGCTTTGAGAAAGTCATTTTCTTCTTTGACACTGGCGCTCACAAGACGGTAATTCAGGAGGATCTCGCATGTCGCTTAAAGCTGCCTGCACTGAAAACAGAGACATGCATTATGTCTGGTATAGGAGGAATTACTGAGACATTTCAAAGTAACATCGTAAACGTGAAGATCGGTACGGCCTACGGAAAAGACTTGGAAATACCGATACAGACAAAACCCATATTAACAAATGGTTTCCTTGCGGTCAAAATAGGCCCCGTCGATCAACAGTTTCTCGAAAAACGNAGGGGAGCACCACATACCCAACATCCTGCTAGGCCTAGATCACTATTACAGCTTCGTCCTCGACAGCGGCGAGCACCTCACGACTCCTTCAGGATTGCGAATAGCGAACACAATTTTTGGCCCTATACTGTATGGCCAAGGATCAACTGATACAAGCGGTGGCACTCTCCCAACCCCTTCCCTTTCCTACAATATGACAGTAATCGAAGAGACGGAAAGAGAACTACTCAGTAAACTTTTCGAACTTGAGGGTCTGGGAATCACCTCCGACGAATATGCAGGGAACAACAACTTTCTTGAATACTACAAAAAATACTCCGACCAAGTTTCATTCGAGAATGGATACGTCACAGCTCCATACCCCTTGAAAAGCACTGTGCAAAATCTGGCAGACAACTACGGTACAGCCTTGAAACGGTTGATGAATCTTTACACTCATTTAGGAAAAAGCAATATTCAAAAGGAGTGGTAGAGCAAAACACTCAATCAGTATGAGGACGACGACGTCATCGAACGAGTGGAAGGTAAGGCTCCTGGCTCCGTTGGGGTGTACTATATGCCCCACTCAGGCATGTGGAGACCCCACAAGCCAAAACCATTGCGTGTCATATTTGACGCCCCCTCGAAACGCAAAGGACAACTCTCCCTCAACGACGTCACCTACAAAGGAGAATCACTCGTGAGTAAGATTCATGACATTCTCATAGCAAGTAGAACATGCAAGATCATACTGGTGTGTGATATCGAAGCAGCCTTCACTCAAATAAGATTGAAAGAAAGTCATAAAGACCTTTGTAGGTTTCTCTGGCTCAAAGATGCTAGCAAACCCCCTACTCAAGACAACATCATAGAATACCGATTCAAGAGAACCCTTTCGGAGCGAAGCCGTCGCCCAGCATTCTGAATATGTGCCTTCTCTCATTCTTGCAAAGCAAAAACAACGACCTAGCCAAAAAGATCGGCGAGAATCTCTATGTCGACAACATACTCCTCTCGGCGGATACTCCATCAGAAGCTCTCAAAAAGTACCACGAAAGCAAAGCATTGCTTGCAGAAATCGGAATGAACCTCAGAGAGTACGCATCTAATTCAAACGAAGTCAATAGTGCCATTCCTGTATATGACAGAGCCCCTAGCGCGACCATAAAATTACTGTTCGTAACCTATAATACCGAATCGGACGAATTCACGCTTGAGCTCAAATTCCCTGACATCAAAAATTTGACGAAAAGAGACGTTCTCAGTCAACTGAATTCCATATACGACCCGCCAGGAATAGCAGCACCTCTAACAATCCACCTGAAACACTTAATGAGAGAGATATACGACCGCACTATCGAGTGGAAAGAGCCAGTCTCGAAAGACCTGGCCGATATCTGGAACGACACCTGTTCAAAAATGAACAGCATTTCTTTATCAGTCCCTCGCTTCCCTTTCGAAGACAACATCGCCTCATTCTCGCTCTGGGTATTCTCAGACGCCAGCATTCAAGCCTTAGCAGTGTGCGCCTATTTCCGAAACGAACATACCTTGAAGGTATCTCCGCTAACGAGTGGAAAGACCAGGCTCACACCAAAAAAATCAAGCAGACCATACCGAAGCTTGAGCTGTTGGTCATACTCATGGCCGTGCGTCTCGGAAAGACAATTGTCGCAGCCAGCAAAAAGCCCGTCTCACACATCAATATCCTAAGCGACAGTGAGATAGCCTTATCGTGGGTAACAGGTGAAGGCAATTTACCCGTCTTTGTGGAAAACCAGAGGTACCGTATTATGAAGGTGAAACAGGCTGTAGAGACCCGAGGGATGTCAATAAATTTCTGGCATGTTCCATCAGACAAAAGCCCTGCTGACGCTTTAAAGCGTGGGACGGATTCAGAACACATCCACCAGCTTCCATGGATTCTTGGACCAAACTGGCTTCGCGAAGCACAAATACCCTTCCCGTTGATNTGACCATCTGTGAACACATCTGTAACATCTGTAATGTCGCTGACGCTGGAACGCGTGGAACGGATTCAGAACACATCCACCAGCTTCCATGGATTCTTGGACCAAACTGGCTTCGCGAAGCACAAATACCCTTCCCGTTGATATTAGAAACCAAGACCGCGAGTGACACCCTCGAGGCACATGATGGTGATGCGGCGTATATAAATACGACAAGCTTGCACGTCGCAGGAGCATCTCCACCCGACTCACCTGCAGCCCAGGGCCTCCTCTCACTTGCTCGCTTCTCTCGCCTGGATAAGGCCATACCGACAACGGCTAGAGTATGCAAAACCATCTGTTTGTGGGTAGATAAAGTCAACGGAAGAAAGGCTAGTAGCACTCTGATACGTTTGGAAAAGCTCCGTCGGTTTAGTCCATCTTGGAACATAACCGCTGACGAGTTCTCCATGAGCGAAACCATACTGCTGGCAGAACTACACAAATCAGTCTCCGTAGAGGACCTTCGCAAAAGGTTCCCTCAGAAACAAGTATTTCGCGACAACGCGGGCATCATACGGCATCAGTCCCGGTTGCAGAACTCAGTCCTCCCCGAGGACACCAAAAATCCTATCTATGTCGACAAGGACTCCGACCTAGCGAGGCTCATTCTCAGTGATATCCATCACAAAAACGCACATAGTGGCAAAGACCACACATTATGTATTGCAAGAGCACGGTTTTGGATACCACGACCGTCTGATGCCTTCAAGAAAATGGCAAAACAATGCGTTACATGCACAAAATGGCAAGGGCCTCCGTTCGGCGCCCCGGAAATGCCTTCAATACCAAAGGATAGAGTCATTTTGACAAAACCTTTCGAGAGAATCGGATGCGACTTCATGGGACCATATCAGAGCAAGGAATATGATAAGTGCTACATCTGCCTCTACACATGCCTAACAACCAGAGCTGTTCACCTCGAAGTGGTGGAAGACATGTCAGCAGTAGCGTTTCTTCAATCACTCAAACGCTTCATATCTCGACGTGGCATTCCCAAACTAATCCGTAGCGACTGCGGCTCTAACTTTAAACTTGGGCAACGCGTAATAGAAACCATGTTTGGATCGAATCCCGACGCGAGCGATGCTAGCGAAACCTGCGTAATGTCGTATTGCGCCACACATAGAGTACAATGGATATTCAACTCCCCTAAAGCACCGTGGATGGGTGGCGCTTGGGAACGCCTAGTTGGCACTGTCAAGTGCGCTTTCAATAAATCAGTGGGAAGAAGAAAGCTGCATTACACAGAGTTCCTCACGATCATAACAGAAATTGAAGCCATAGTCAATACACGGCCGCTCACAGCTTGTTCGGCCAACGTTGAGGACATACCCCTGCGGCCCATTGACTTCCTACAGAAATCGCTAAAATATGCACTTCCGGCTTCTGACCACAAAGAAAGCGACGATCCCACTCTCAATCCGCAACTAATACAGTCAGTCACCCAAGCTAAACAGGCTCTCGAAAGTAGCGAACAGATAGCTCAAAAGTTTTGGGAACGATGGCACATGGAATACCTAACAGCATTACGCGAGGTCCAGCGCTCGCGACTTAAGCAACGCCGGCATGCACGACCAAGAGAGCCAACAGTTGGGGAAATCGTTCTGATAGAACAAGAAAATATTCCACGTGGTAGTTGGTGCTACGGGAAAATAGTCGAACTTGTGAAAAGCACGGACGAACAAGTACGATCACTTAAGGTATTGCTGCCTAATGGACATGTATGGCACAGGCCACTCAACAAGATCTATCCCTTGGAGATCCCATCCTCGAGCCGACACGAAATTCAGGAGTCCCAGAAGCCAACAGCGGACCCTCTGAACAACAAACATGCGAAACCGATCCGGCAGAACACCGCCCTTCACGACAGGCCAAACTCAAGGCAAAGAAAGTAATACAAGATGCGATAAGATCATTGTGTACCAGCAATGACACAAGATGCACGTTGCTACCGTCAGTCATATCCGCACCACACATCTCACTCCTCGTGGTCCTGCTCCTGAGCTCCTGTGTAGACGCCTATTCCCCACTTCTGTGTAAGGACGGAATGATCAGGGTGTTTTCCCTTGAAGGCACGTTTGAGATTTGCATATAAACCACCTGCAAACGTTTCCCACCAATGCCGTCTGATTTCTCACTCCAACTGCCATCGACAACTGCGAACAACAACATATCAGTCACTATGAGTTACACAGAACAAACGTCACTGAAGGAGTTCCACATCACTTGTTCCCTTCCA